TTTTTGTCTTTTTGAGGCAGGGTCTCTCTATGCAGTTCAGGCTGGCCTTGAGCTCACTTTGCAGCCCAGGCTGGTCTCGAACTCGCGGTGATCCTCCTGCCTCAGCCTCCCGAGTGCTGGGATTACAGGCATGTGCCACCACACTCAGCTAGCTGTCTTGCTGTTTAGCATCTTGGACCTACCCAATGTCTTGGTTAAGAGAAAAATGTTTGTGTTTGAAGCCCAGCTCAATCCTCACCAACTGTGTGAACCACACAGAGCAAGTGATTCAACCTGTCTGGGCCTCTGTTACTATAGCTCTTTGAATGGTTTTTGGAGGAGTAAGAGAGAGAGGCGTGTGCAGTACTGGGCACAGAGCAGGTGGGCTATGTCCACCACTGTGGACAGTGGAGGCAAAGCTCAGCCAGTGGCAGAGCTCATCAAAGGCAGACAGTGTGACACCGTCGTTGGATGATGCACCTCAGAAAGAAGCCCCAGTGAGCTTTCTGCACGGAGCGGGAGAGGGAGAGGGAGAGGGAGAGGGAGAGGGAGAGGGAAGGGTCCTCGGGTCTCCCAGCATCTCCTCCTCTTTCCAGAACCAGAGCTGGAGCCAGAGCCACTTGTCCCACAGCTCCCTGAGGCCCCCAGCCCGGATGTGCCTGTCTGGGACATCGGGGCCTTCACCCTGCTTGATGGAAAGCTGATGCACGTTAGAGGAGAGGAGGAGGTGAGCGGGGTGTGTGGCCGAGGGGAAGGACGGGAATAAACCAGAGGCCAGGCAGGGTGTGGCAGCGAGGGGAGGCCCCGCCCCCTCCTGAGGTCAGACTGCCTCTCCTCTCTGACCGCCCCCTCCCTCGGACAGCAGGGTCCTCGCCGGCCCCGGGTGGGGAGCGCTAGCTCGGAGGGCAGCATGCATGTGGCCATGGGAAATCTCAGGGACCCAGGTGAGTTTGGCGTGCAGGAGGTTGGGGCACTTGGGAGTCTCTCAAGGTGGAGCAGAATCGAAACAGATTTCTACCCCTTACCTCCCACTTCTGACCACCCACAGATCGAACCCCTGGGAAGACTGAGCCAGAGGCTGCTGGCTCCAGCCAAGTCCACAATGTTCGGGTGAGGCAGCCAAAGGGAAGTGGGGAGTGGAGGTGGGGTGAGCAAGGGCGCCAGATCCTCACAGCTGAAAGGGCCATCCATTGTCCCAGATGATCTGGGGCAGGCGGACCTGCCCTGGGCCTCTGTGTATCCCACCTGCCAAATAGAGCTAATGATGGCACAACCTGCTGGGGTCTGTTTACAAAGAGTTAATGGAGAATGCTCTATTGCTCAATGCTTTATTGAATTGTGAGCTGGCTGGGAGTGATGGCTCATGCCTCTAATCTCAGCACTTGGGAAGCTGATGCAGGACAATCCTGAGTTCGAGGCCAATTTGAACTACAGAATAACACCCTGTCTCAAAAAAAAGAAAGAAAGAAAGAAAGAAGAAAGAGGAGGAGGAATTCAAACTGGTTGCCCTAGCTAGGCATGGTGGCGCATGCCTGTAATCCAGCACTCCCAGCACTCGGAAGGCTAAAGCAGCAGAATCCTTGGGAGTTTGAGACCCGCCTGGGCTACAAAGTGAGCTCAAGGCCAGCCTGAACTGCATAGCGAGACCCTGTCTAAAAAAGACCAAAAAACAAAAACAAAAACAAAAAAACCTGGTTGCCCTTATTAATACTGCTAATGAAATACAGGTTGAGCTTGGTTTGGGTGCCTCAAGACCAGCAGAGCCTTCCTGTCTGGGAGGGAAGGAGCTGGGGAGGGAGCCCAGAATTCTGCCCACCTGACACCCGCCTTCCTCCAGGGGTTGCTCAAGAGGCTGAAAGAGAAGAAAAAGTCCAGGTCGGACCTGGGAGCCAGCGTGGCTCGGGATGGGTAAGAGCCTCTGAGAGCTGGGGCGCTCGTCACCCTGCCTAGCACCCCTTCTCCCTGCACTGGCTGCCTCGGCCTGTGCCTGCGCCCTCCTCTTTGTTCTCCCCACGCCAGGTGGTGCTGGGGTCATAAAGACCTAGCACAGAGCCAGCCCATTGCTGAAGGCTGGCATGAACTCTAAACTGGGTGCTAAGTCAGCACCCTGGTCTGGAAAGGTCAGAGAAGGACTCCTAGCATGGATGGAAGTTAACTAGGCCCTGAGGCAGTGGGAAGAGCATTCCAGGCAGACAGAACAGCAAGCAAAGACCGAGCGGCTGAAGGGGACAAAGACGAGACAAGGGTTCAGAAACTGAGAGGTTACATGGAGGGAGAGAAGATCAAAGGTGACAAAGGCTGCCCTTTTCAAGGTCAGGTGGGGCCACCACGAAGAGCTGGGTTTATGTTAAAAGCAAGGACACTGCCAGACATGGTGGCTCCCAGCACTCTGGGAGGCCGAGGCAGGAGGCAAGCTCAGCCTGGGCAGCTTAGCCACTTAGCCAGACCCTGTTTCAAGGTAGAAAGGGCTGGGGGTGCAGCTCGGTGTGAAGGCCCTGGGATCCATCCCCGGGACCACACACACACAGCAATGAGACACAGGGGGCTTGGGTGCCTCAAAACGGGAGAGCGGAGCGGTGGGATCACATTCAGGTTCAAGTCCCTGGCCTTCCTCTACCCTTCCGGCTGCGGGGTGTTTGGAGGGGAGAGAGGAACGACCGCTTGCTCACCCGCCCCCAATCCCAGGCCCCCCAGCACTCTGGGCTCTAGAGAATCGCTGGTCACCCTCTCCGAGCTGGACCTGGGCGCAGAGCGGGATGTGCGGGTCTGGCCGCTGCACCCAAGCCTCCTAGGGGAGCCCCACTGCTTCCAGGTAAGTTCGGGCCACCCCCTCCCCCATAGTCCCACTCCTGACGCTTTGGCTTCACTTTTGCTCCAGCCTGACCCTTGGATTCCCTGGCTCGACAGGTGACATGGGCGGGCGGTAGCCGCTGCTTCTCTTGTCGTTCGGCTGCTGAGAGAGACCGCTGGATCGAGGACCTTCGTCGCCACTTCCAGCCGATCCAGGTCATTGCCGAAGGTGGAGGGGATAGAGACGCGGAGACCCTGCCCTCTGGCAAACCCCCATCCTACCCCAGCCCCCGCTCCTGCTGCGCTACCCAAATCCAGAGCACGCCGTAACTCCTCCCCCGAAACACACCTCTCCGCCCGCCGCACCTTTGCAACCACTTGGAGAGGTCCTCTCCCTTTTGTTTTGTTTTGTGCTTTGTTTAGTCGGATTTGGTTGGTTTTTTGAGACAGGACCTAGCTATGTAGCTCAGACTGGCCTCAAACTCGCCGTGATCCTCCTGCCTCAGCCTCCCGAGTGCTGGGATGACTGGTGTACGCTACCGCGAGCGGCAAAGCTCCAAACTTCTACCGCAGCGCCTGCCTTGGAGCACCAAAGTCCTCCCAACACTCCCCCTCCCTCCCCCACAGGACAACGCAGAGCGGGAGGAGACGTGGCTGAGCGTGTGGATCCACGAGGCGAAGGGGCTGCCCCGGCCGGCGGGGGCGCAGGGCGTGCGAGCAGAGCTGTGGCTAGACGGCTCGCTGCTGGCGCGCACCGCTCTGCGAGCCGG